ATCTCAAGTTTTCTCCCAAAAATGGAGTTATGACCTAAAAATACAAGAAAATGACTTAAATACATGTTTTGGTTCTGTCACGTTCGCTAGGAGAAAAGCTAGCGAACAGCTAGCGAACGGGAACTTTTGACACTTTCAGATCTGTTCAATTCTGGGCTCATTCGCTACCTGCTCGTTAGGCGAGCTGCTAGCGAACGTTCGCTACCTGCTCGCTAGACGAGCTGCTAGCGAGCTGACAACATTTTGGTAGTTTTTTGCATGTTGTCTTGGTTTCCTTGCCCATTTCTTGTGTCTTTCTTTTCACTTGTTTTGTGCCTGATTCCTGCACAATAACACACAAATCAAAGGTACCAAGAGATTTTCTCATAATGTTGCAAACCAACCAAAACAAGAGTGGTTTTCAACACTTTTATGACAAAAATGAGTGAAAGGTGCCAATATATGATAGATCAAATAAGTGAAATTTGGCATCTAACAACTCGCCCCAACTAGCTTTTTGCTTGTCCTCAAGCAAAGTATGCCTCTCATTTCGCAACAAGAGGATTTGCTCAAGACTAAAATTCACCCAAGAATGGATAAAATTGGCTCAAACACAAATGATGCAAACAAGCCATGGTTTCAAATGTTTATAATCAAACAATGCAAAAGAACTAACTTCTTATAACAAATATTAAGCTATGCATCAATCAACAACTATATTTTTCATGAATGAATCACTCTAACTCTCCTCTTCGAATAAGGATTGAAGAAATTACGCATTTGCAACCGCGGGGACAATTTCACTCAACTAACAAACAATGTCAATATCAATTAAATTCATACAAAATCTAACAATCAAAAGCAAAAATATGGAAGCAAGAAGATCACTAAGGTCTTTAAGGTTGTAGCTTGGTCGGGTTTACAAACAAGGGACATTTCTAAGGCCATGGAAACGAAATTGCCGATGCAAAAGAGGCATTCACCGTACACGTTATTTACATATCTCAATTTCATTCCATTCATTTCTTAATTGCAAACCTTCCCAACTTTATTCCACAACTTATTCTTTCACTATTTTTCTTTTCCAAGCAAGCATTCTTTTTCTCATATTTTTTTTTCATCATTTTTTTTTTTCATTTTCACATAACAATTTTTTTAATGCTTGCTTGAATTTTTCAAAAATTGTAACAACCTACTATCTTCCTTTTTCATTCGCCCCAACTTAACTTTTACTCAACCCTCAAGTGAATGCTCTTAGCTTTTTATGGCAAAGAATGCAATTAAAACAAATTCAAGGGTTCAAGAAAATTTTTAAAATCTCACAAAATTAAGAATGAGATTCACATTGTTTAGGCTCAAAGGGGTTAACGAATTCTCTCTACTCACGGGTAAGTTGCATTTGGACATAGTTGTGCTCAATATAAACAAGTGCCTTGATCATTTCTAATGCTTCCACAAATTCATAATGATACAAAGATAAAACATGAATCATACGAATCAACAAATTTTATCAGAAATCCAGCATTTAGTAAACAATGGAAGCTTTCTCACAAATTGTGGTTTTTGGTCCTAAGTGAAACAATCATTCAAATAAGTTGGCAAAAGAACAAATTTCATTTGCACAAAGACTTAAGTTCTTAAGCATTCTAAAATTCTAAATGAAGGAAACCATGTACCTTGACAACATTCACTTGTTTCATACTATCATTGCCATCCAAACCCGGTCAAAGCTTCATTGAATGCTTTTATACCGATAGCAACCACTCTAGAAGGAGTTTTCGTCATTCCTGAACACACTAGAAAAAACATAAAAAGGAACAAATATATACAAAATATACAAAGCTTAAAAACATAAAACCGTTGCAATGCACTTCAAAATCTCAACACCAATCCCCGGCAACGGCGCCATTTTGTTGATGCGGTAAAGCAGCAAGCAAAAAATATTAAGTAACCCAGTTTTGTCGTCTCCACAGGGATTAGTGAGACTTGAACGCCGTTCAATGGTTTCCATATTTCCAAGCTTCTTGTTCAAAATGTTTGGTTAAAGAGGTTCAAAGAACCATAAATAAAAACAGAAAATATAAAATAAAGACTGAAATATAAACCGAGCCTTGTTGGGATTGGATTTCATCAATTGATAACATGTGAATTCTTCTGATCAAATTAAACACCGCACAATCATTCGTCTAATATCCTCACGTATCACTCACGACAGAGCTTATCTCTAACGCAACGTCGAGAAAATAACCGTATCGTCTCATTGTTGATCTCTCACACAACTCGACAACACAGAGCATTAAGAATCGATACTAACACAATGAAACAAGAATGAAACAAGAATGACAGGTAAACAGGTAAACAAGAATGAAACCCATATCAGATAAACAATTGTTTTGCATATAAAATACAATGATCAGAATACGCACACACGCTTAACCCTTTTTACATGTATTCATCTAATCCGCCAAATTGTTGTGAACAACATTCTTCATCACTATTATCACATACCCACACAATATCATATTGATCCTACCCATGCTAGCCATGCTACTTAATCAACACAACACCATAGAAGATAAAATGAATATCAACTTCAAAACCATGTCAAAAGTTTGTTCATTGATAGAAGAAGATCTGAGATCAAAGATGTGAAAAGGTTTTGTCAAGACCCACATACAAGCAACCAAAGATAATCAATCAATAGAGAATCAAAACTAGTTCACAAACATAAATTAGATGAAATACATAAGGTATCAAAAGATTACAATCCAAACCCCAACAAGAGATCGAAGATCTTACCTCCTCCCTCTTAGGGTTTTGTGTTTCTCTCTCTCAAGAAATGAAGAGAGATGAGTTCTGATGTTCCAAAATGTTACAATCTCAAGTTTTCTCCCAAAAATGGAGTTATGACCTAAAAATACAAGAAAATGACTTAAATACATGTTTTGGTTCTGTCACGTTCGCTAGGAGAAAAGCTAGCGAACAGCTAGCGAACGGGAACTTTTGACACTTTCAGATCTGTTCAATTCTGGGCTCATTCGCTACCTGCTCGCTAGGCGAGCTGCTAGCGAACGTTCGCTACCTGCTCGCTAGACGAGCTGCTAGCGAGCTGACAGCATTTTGGTAGTTTTTTGCATGTTGTCTTGGTTTCCTTGCCCATTTCTTGTGTCTTTCTTTTCACTTGTTTTGTGCCTGATTCCTGCACAATAACACACAAATCAAAGGTACCAAGAGATTTTCTCATAATGTTGCAAACCAACCAAAACAAAAGTGGTTTTCAACACTTTTATGACAAAAATGAGTGAAAGGTGCCAATATATGATAGATCAAATAAGTGAAATTTGGCATCTAACAAGCGTGTGGTAGAGTTTATTGTTGATGTGATATCGGACACTAGTCCTATGTCGATGGCTCCTTATCGGATGTCTGCATCTGAGTTAGGGGAATTGAAGAAACAGTTGGAAGAGCTGCTTGAGAAGAAGTTTATTAGACCGAGTGTTTCTCCGTGGGGTGCTCCTGTGTTGTTGGTGAAGATGAAAGATGGTTGCACGAGATTGTGTGTGGATTATCGTCAGTTGAATAAAGTAACAATCAAGAATAAGTATCCACTTCCGAGGATTGATGGTTTGATGGATCAATTGGTGGGTGCTTGTATGTTTAGCAAGATTGATTTGAGGTTTGGTTATCATCAGATTCGCGTGAAGCCTGATGATATTCCGAAGACAACTTTCAGGACGAGGTATGGACACTATGAATATACTGTGATGCCGTTTGGTGTATCTAAAGCACCTGGTGTATTCATGGAGTATATGAATAGGATTTTTGATCCTTATTTGGATCAGTTTGTGGTACTGTTCATTGACGATATCTTGATATATTCTAAGTCCGAGGAAGAGCATGCGCAACATCTAAGAGTGGTATTGCAGGTTTTGAGGGACAAGAAGCTTTATGCCAAGTTGTCTAAGTGTGAGTTTTGGTTGAAGGAAGTGAGTTTACTTGGCCATGTGATTTCTAGTGGAGGAATTGCTGTTGATCCGTCGAAAGTTGATGCTATGTTGCAGTGGGGACTCCAAAGTCTGCTACTGAGATTCAAAGTTTTCTTGGATTGGCTGGTTATTATCGCAGGTTTATAGAAGGCTTTTCAAAGTTGACACTGCCATTGACTCAGTTGACTCGAAAGGGTCAAACTTATGTGTGGGATGTTGCTTGTGATTAATCGTTGTTGAATAATTTGTGTTCATTATCATTCAAATTTTGTACCTTTTCGCATATCCGAGTTTTTCGATATAGTTGGTTTGGTTAAACAATTTGATTCGGGTTTTTCCACTGTGCCATAAAAATTTTGAAAACCATTTTTGCCAAAAATTTAAATTTTAAATTTGTGATCTATTCACCCCCTCTAGATCTAACCATATCGTCTAACAAAACATGATTTTCTACCATTTTCTGGCTTAATGAGGTCCTATTCATGGCTAAAGGCTAAAGGGAGCCTTAATGCTTAAATGTTGCATTTTGTCTATTTTTTATTCTTTCTTGATCCTTTTTGTCTGTATTTGATAGACACATAATTCAAAAGTGCATACAGATGATTTATCATATTTTTCTAATAAGTTTGGATTGTTTCATTGATTACTTTTTAAGTGAATTTAATAAATAGTTATGAATTTTACATATTTTTAGCATATATCAAACATCAGACTTCATTCTGAATTTGGTTGAAAATACTAAGATACATTGTTTGATTAAAATATATGATATTCCTATTCAATATTGGAGACCATGAATTCTTTTTTCTATCATGATATGTAGATTTGAAAAATTGGATGGATAAAGACGTTATACACACTAAGCATACGACACACATTGATGAGAAAAATAATTCATATCCGAATGTCATCACTTCAAGTAATCAAACACAACAATAGACATAACTCACTACCAAATTTGTGATTGAATTATTTATATTTAATAATATATGTTTACAATATATGTATATATAATATAGTGTTTCATATTAACTACTAAATATACACTTTGAGGTTGTGACTCGAATATGATCGTGGCTTTTGTTTTCCAATGTCAAAGAAAGAATAATTTTGAGTACATAGCCTCATTGAGATTGTGCTCTCCTTGTAGGATTGTGATCTAGCAAAATGAATGTCACTCGAGAACCGTGGTGTTTTTACATGTGCTTCTTCTTTTTGCGACGTATCAAATTGGCTATCTTCTTCACTCACCACCAATTGCAAAGCATACTCTAACTCACCAACCACTTGACTCATTGTTGGTCGTTGAGTCCCATCATCATGCAAACAATTCAACGCCAACTTGCAATAGGATTCCAAACACTCACCTTTGATAGAATCCCTTAAGAATGGATCCACAATTTGTTCTATTGCCGCACCTTCGTCGTAACATCTTTGAAACCAACAAACTAGACTTGCTGTCTTCTTATCGAAATCACGAACCAAAGGAGGCCTAGCACACAAGGCCTCAAGAAGCACCACACCGAATGAGTACACATCAGATTTTACGGTCAATCTTTGAAGCATGTAGTATTCGGGATCCAAATACCCTAGGCTCCCTTTCACCATTGTGCTAACATGGGTAGTCGATATCCCTGAAGGTCCCACCTTAGATAATCCGAAGTCAGAAACTTTAGCCACCCATTTCTCATCCAACAATATGTTAGTGCTCTTCACATCACGGTGTATTATCTTGTGTTTCACCTCCGCATGAAGATAATTCAGGCCTCTTGCTGCACCCAATAGAATCTCAAGCCTCAACTTCCACGGTAGAGGTTGATTATTTGAACCATAGAGATACTCACAGAGAGTACCATGTTGCATAAACTCATAAACCAGAATCATCTCAGTGTCGTCATTGCAATATCCGACTAGAGATACCAAGTTTACGTGGCGAAGTTGGGAGAGTAACTCGATCTCGTTCATGAACTCGTTAGCACCTTGTTGAGAACCTTGTTTAAGGCGTTTTATCGCAACTTGGGTGGATCCATCAATGAAACCTTTGTAGACGTTGCCGAACCCTCCAACTCCGATGATGAAATCATCATCGAAGTTTTTTGTGGCTGCTTTGATCTCCATGATTGTGAAGTATCGACACAAATGGGGCGGCAAAGATGACGACCCTTGGTTTTTTGTCTTGGACGAGATATCTTCCATGGTATTTTGAAACCGTCCTCTTAGCCAAAAAACTGTGACTCCCACAACAACTACTAGCACGAGGCTTGAAAGTGCAATCGCAACAATGATTCTTGTGGTGATCCTAAATTTCTTTGACGGTTCGGTTGAAAATACTGGAGGAGGGTGAGATAGATCAATTGATTTTGATATTGATCCTGCAAGATTGTTAATTTTATCATTTAGTTTGAAAATCTCAAGTCCATTCAGTATGACATCACGGTGTCGTGTGAACGTATTTCCTTGTGCACGTTGAAGTTTGATTGAAAGATTAACTCTTTCATTTTGAGAACTTCCTTCTTGATTGTTCATAATCACAGCATAATCCTTATGAACAGGAATATTGTTACCACCACTCCACGCTATCACATCAGCGAATGGTTCAGCCAAAATATCATGTATAAAAATCCGAAAAACTCTATCGCTTGGATTTGTGATATTCGGATCAAACTCACAAAAATGCAACCTTATCATATAAGTAAAAGCAGAGTCAACTTCAAAATTCCATGTTACATTATATTCCTCTGTCGCATCCATTCCATAACTTCTTGCAGTTAAGTAAACAGCTTCTGGTGCAGTATAATTTGGAATGGTATTGGGTACATAGTTGATATGATGAACAAAATCAGTTGATATACTATTTGGATATTCTTTCTCCAAGTAAAGAGGATAATCAGGATCCCAATTACGAAACATACCTGTATCATCAGCTGGTGGAACTTGACTACCAGCAACGTTGACTCTATAAACCATCTCCAAAGCTTTATCGTTACGAATTATGTAATCATTGTTTTCATAGTCAACTAACTTGAAAACATAGTTTGGGTCACCGAGATTAGTGTAATAGAGAAAAGAAGGCATGGACACAATCTCGATTCCGTTGATAAAAGCATAAGAGTTTGATTGATTTATAATGGTGGGAATGAAAGTTATGTTTAGATTCTCACCTGGTTGTGTTGTGAGGCAGTATTCTTTGGTGATAGTTTTGTCACCGTTTTGAAGCCAAAGTGAGGGGTTAAAGTCTCTGAGAAGGGTAATGTTGTTTCCTGCCATGACTGTGAAGTGAGGGTTGGAAGTGTCATAATTTTGATACGATGTTGGGTAAAAATGGAGGCGAAGAAAAACAGTGCCGGGGACTGTGTTGAGTATGGAGGTGGGAATTGAGAATGTGAAGCTGGAAAACGAAATACGTGCAGAGGTAAATGGAATTTTGTTAACAGAATCAGAGGTATGATGATGAGTTGGTTTGGCTTTGATAGATTTGTATTTGGTTTGTGGTTCCGTGACAGAAAACAGTTTGGTACCTTCTATGTCACCAACCCAAGTTCGGTTTTCATAGGTAGTATCCATGGAATGACCACAATTCACGGCTAAAATATCATATGAAGAGTTAACCAATAGAGGGAACGACAGATAAAGGAGAAACAAAACTAAATATAAGAGTAGTGTGATTTCAGTGGGAACAATGTTCTTGAGGGACTTAGCCATATCTAAAGAAATTTTGTTCGTTGGTGTTTGCTATGCTCCCTAGTTTAATATATTGAGATGTGGAACGTGTAATAGAAGGGACGATTTTTGAATATCAACGAATTATTCAAAAATCAACATTTCTTACGAGACATATATAACTATATATGAACATTTTAGTGAGAAAAGTAATAGCCATAAAAAACGAATTATTTTGGAAATGAAAACGAATTGAAGGGTAGGGAAATTGTTAGGAAACAACATCAATAGGAACTGTTCACAAAAATTAGTGGCAAGTTTGAAATCGTCAAACTTTCTTTTCAGGAGTACACTAGTTTTTACTTTTCAAATATGTCTTATTGGCTGGACTGAAATCGTTTACTCTAGTTTTATTTTCTTCTTTCGTTTATTCTTTTTTATTTGTCTTATGTCTATACTTTCTTATGTCTAGGTTTTATTCTAAAAAAGAAATAATATTATGTGTTGGAGTTTAGTAGAAAACTAAAGAGAAAGACTCCTTTTTAATGAAAAAAATTGAAACTATTTTGGGTTTGTACAACCCATACGAAGGTGTTGTGAATTGGATGTCCTGAAATAAAATATAAACAGTTTTCATATGATCAAGAAATACACAAGAGTTAGGGTTAACAAAGATAACAATGTAAAATAACAAGGAACAACAATGATTGATTATAAAATGTTATTCTTTCCTTACTCTTGGAACAAGATTACAAGTATACAAGAATAGCAAAATAACCTCTCTCTCTTGAAATTAGGAATTTATCTTTCTATTTTTTTCTTATGACAAAATTGAGAAACTAACATCCTATTTGTAAGAAAAATAGAACACTAACTTAATGGATTTTTTTAACAATTATCCATTACAAGCTAACTTAAATAATTAGGCTTACAAGCAATACCCAATTCAACATGCTAACAATTCTGGCAATATTGACTAATACATGTTAGAACAAACTTCGACTACAACACACATTATTCCGGCAGTAGCATGCGAACATACTTCGACCTCATGCTACCCTTCAACCATATTAGAGTTTGATCCAACATCTCACAAATCTCCACTTTAGATCTAACTCTATAACATCAAGAAACTAGCTTTCTTCATGCAACTTTATCAACTGCATACAATGGAAAAACTTGCAACTGTGCAACGTCTTGTTGATCATATCAGCAGCATTATGGTCTGTCGAAACCTTCAGCACTTGAAATTCTCCACGCTCGATTACCCCTCTGACGAAATGCAGCCTCACATCAATGTGCTTGCTTCGCTCATGATATGCTGAATTCTTCGACAAATGTATTGCACTTTGACTATCACATTTAACAGTGATAACTCGACCTTGAAGTTTTAGCTCATTTACAAAACTTTCAAGCCACAATGCTTCTTTCACAGCTTCAGTTAGGGCAATATATTCTGCTTCAGTGGTTGATAAGGCCACGACCTTCTGAAGTGTTGCTTTTCAACTGATTGTTATCCCAAACATAAAGAACACATATCCAAAAATAGATTTTCTAGAATCCATACAACATGCATAATTAGAGCCGACATATCATTCGATTGCTGCTTTACTATCTTCACCCTAGGCTCCACCATAAATTAGGAATCTATTCAGAGACTCATTTATATACCTTAGAATTCACTTCAATGCTTTCCAGCAAGCCTTTCCAGGATTCGCGACGTACCTGCTTACAAGACTTACTACATATGCTATGTCGGGTCTAGTACAAACCATAACATACATCAAAGAGCCTACTATGTTAGCATATAGAATGCTATTCATATAAGTTCTTTCAACATCAGTGCTGGGACACTGATCTATACTCAGCTAGAATTGAGGGTTTATCGGAGTCACAACAGGCTTTGAATTCGACATACCAAACTTTTCGAGAACTTTTCATAGGTATGCCTCTTGAGATAAGCATAATTTCATCAGAAGTCAGTTCGACCACTGTGTTTACTTCAGATTTCGACTGGGTAATTCATTTGTTATTTTTTTTTGCTCTATGTGGATGATATTCTAATAGTAAGCAACAATTTAGAAGAGGTAATGAGGGTGAAGGCTGAACTTAATAAGAAGTTCGACATGAAGGATTTGGGAAATGCGTCCAGGATTCTTGGGATTAACATCCGAAGAGATAGAAAACAGTCAAAATTATGCTTATCTTAAGAGGCATACCTACAGAAGGTTCTCGAAAAGTTTGGTATTCAAACTCAAAGCCTATTGTGACTCCGACAAACCCTCAATTCAAGCTGAGTATAGATCACTGTTCCAACACTGATGTTGAAAGAACTTATATGAATAGCATTCCATATGCTATCATAGTAGGTTCTTTGATGTATGCTATGGTCTATACTAGACCTGGCATAACATATGCAGTAAGTCTTGTAAGCAGGTACATGGCGAATCTTAGAGAGGCTCACTGACAAGTATTGAAGTGGATTTTAAGGTACATAAGTGAGTCTCTGAATAAGGTCCTAATTTATGGTGGAGCCTTGAGTGAATATAGTAAAGCAAGAATCGAAGTCTGTTCACATGCTGTTGATATGATTACCAAGAGGTTGCCCGGTTGCAAGTTTTTCCACTGTATGCAGTTGATAAAGCTACATGAAGAAAGCTAGTTTCTTGATGTTATAGAGTTAGATCCAAGGTGGAGATTTGTGAGATGTTAGATCGAACTCTAGTATGGTCGAAGGGTAGCTTCTGGTTCGACATGAATTAAGTATGAGATCGAAGTATGTTCGCATTCTGCTTTTGGAGTAATGCGTGTTGTAGTCGAAGTTTGTTCTAACATGCATTAGTCAATATTGTTAGGTTGTTCGCATGTTGAATTGTGTCTTGCTTGTAAGCTTAATTGCTTAAGTTAGCTTGTACCCTAAGTTAGCTTGTAATGAGTAATTGTTAAAAAAAACCCATTAGATTAGTGTGTTATTTTTCTTATAAATAGGATGCTAGTTTCTCAATCTTGACATAATGAAAAATAGGAAGATAAAATCATAACTTCAAGAGAAAGATTATTTTGTTATTCTTTTATACTTGTAATCTTGTTTTAAAAGTAAGGAAAGAATTATATTTTATAACCAATCCTTGTTGTTTTATCTTGTTATCTTTATTAATCCTAACATTTGTGTGTTTCTTGATCATAAAAAAATCGTTTATATTTTATTTTAATACATTCAATTCGCAACACTATCTATATATAATGACATTTGTAGGATTTATATAAAATTAGTTAAAGAGTTTTGCTAGAATATATCCAAGTGTAAAATATGATATAATCCAAAAGTGATTTGTAAACATTTATCTAAAAAAAACTGTTTTACATAAAATTTTATATTCACATACATCAACACACGCTATAAAGTAACCTAAAAGGAAGAGAAATTAGCTACAACACGACTTTGACAATATTGTTAAAATATCTAAAAATCAACTTGCATAATTTGAATGCTTTTATATTAGTTTTCATTAGGCCTTATATCTTAAAATCATGTTAGTCTAGACACCAAATATATACTCTAACACCTCAGATACAATATAAATGTCATTAATCATACAAAAATGCTATTCTTATACTAAAACGTTACACTACACTCAATTTACTGTTCACAATTTACTGTTCACAAATACTTATGTATATATTTATAATTTAATTTCAAAATATGGTTAATAGTATGTATTTTATTGGTTAATGAAATAGTGAAAGTGATTAATAAATTATAGGTAAAATAATTGGTTAATGATGTGAATTTTTATGGTTAATGCAATTGTGAAGTTGGTTAATGACGCAATCTTATATTTATGTATAAAATAAGTTTTAAAAATAAATATTTTTTTTTAAATTAATATTTTAAAAAAATATATTATTTTTATAAAAAAAATACTGTTAACCGTATAAATACAGTAAACCATTATATACAGTATAATTACGTGGGTGTAAAAATGGGTGTCAAGATAGCAAACATGTCAATTATAATTATGAAAACACACATACTCTATGAAGCTATCTATTATAATACTAAACAAATAAAAATTCATCATTCGACAAAACATATTCGAAGGTTTAAAGATTTGAAATTTTAATAATGAAAGCACATCAATGGCCCATTAATCAAAGCATAAACTCACTAACAAAACTACAATAGACATTTATAAAATGATATCTTTTACATGTAATAACGCAACAATTTAAATTTGTCTTCATAAGTATTTAAGAGAATATTTATCAATTATTATCAAAGATAAATTATATCAACGCTTGAAAATAGTTTCCACAAATATTTTAGTTAATATTTGTGCGCTCTTGCGAAAATTATCATGACAACAATTTCCACATATGTTTGTCGTGAAAAGAAATCAAAGTTGCGACTTTTCTACCATCAACACATATTTAGGAGTAGATTTTTCTACGTTCAAGTGTACTCCTACCACACAATTGTTTCTTTTCCAAGTCTTCTCAAAAGAAAGTTTTATGATATTGATATCTTGTTATCTTTATATTTTCCTTTATATTATACCACAAAATAACCATAAAGTCCTATTTATATAAAACCATTAACAAAATATAGATATTAGCTTCAACAAGAGAATTTTCATAAAAGCTTCAATTATGAAAAAGTCCTTAATTTCTTCTTTGGGGTTAACAATACTGATGGTAATTACATCACTCTTTCAACCCCATCAACATAACAAACTGGTTGCAGCATCACAGAACACTACGGATGAAGGTGCTAATGGATGCACTGGAATTCACTGCCTAAAGAATTTCGGCGATGACAGAGCCGATTTGTTCACAGATCAACGGGAAAAATCAAGCAGAATTGCTGACATCATGAATACTCTGACGGGCAGTAAAAATACTAATCCCAACTGTATGCCAATTGCTTCATATGGTAGCAGTTCATGCATTAACAAAGTTAGCCCTCAGTATAAGAAACTAGTTTCTGGCAAAAAGGTGTAGTAAAATGAACAAATCACCATTTTATTTTTCTATTTCTATGTTTCAAGTTGAGCTATCTTCTGTATGTTTAGTGAATCATACAAACAGTTTATAAATTACATCTTATTAAATTTATACTGCAACAGTTAGGAGTGACAAAATGGATGGATTGAATGAATATGAATTGAATTATTAATGATGGATTAAAACAATTCATTAGTCTATTAACAATCCACTAATTTTTTTTTTAAAATTATTCAATCCAATCCTTCCATTAAGAATAAAATCCATCTAATCCATCCATTAATATATTTTTAATGGATAGATATCCATCCAACTTTTTTTTTTATTTTTAAAAATCAATATTATTTTATTTTTGAAAAGTTTATTTTTTGTATTCAAAAAAAATATTTTTTTTAATATATTCATGAAAAAAATTGAATTTTTTGTTAAAAAAAAAATCATTTTTTCTATTTTCAAGAAAAAATTGATATTTTAATTTTTGAAAAATATTGATTTTTTTTTTGTTTAAAAAAAAATCATTTTTTTTCGAAAATAATCAGTTTTTTATTTTAGAAAAAAAAACCCAAAATTTTTTTCAAAAAAAAATCATCTTTTTTTCGAAAAAAATTCGATTTTTTTTGGAAAAATTTTGATTTTTTTATTGGAAAAAAATAAATTCTTTTCTTTTAAAAAATCTATTTTTAATTATTTTAAAAAAAATAAATCTAACAAAAATAAAAATAATCCATTGGATTCTTAAATATATTGGATAGATCGAATCCATCCATGCATATAAATGGATGTATTTAATCCAATCTATTAACTTATTTTTTATGTGGCAGATGGATTGAATGGATTTTTTGATGGATGGATTGAATGGATTTTGCCTGAATGGATCCAATTGCCACCTCTAGCAACAACAATACGCATCACAACAATCATAATAACCACAATCATAACATCCACAATCACGTTCTTATCTATAACCGCAACCGCAATTTAAAATCAGTTCTGAGCCGAAACATTTTGATACGGGACGGTGAACGACGGTTGATTCCAAATAATATATTTAAACAGTTTGGCTGGGTCTAATAATTTGGATAGGGGATAGACTTATGATAGAGTGTCTAAAGATATTTTGTGAAAAATCCTAAAAATAAAAGAGTAAGAATTGCATATATTCGAATTATTCAAAATATGTATGAAGAAGTATCGACTAATGCACAGACACAGTGTTGGGAGATTAATGATTTCCTCCGTCACAATAGTTTTACATCAAGGTTCAACCAAAAACACTTAATTTTTTACTTTAATTTTGGATTTACACATAACACATTCAAGAGTTAGCACTAAGATGCATGCTTTTTTCAGAGAATATAATCCTACTTACAGAGTCGAATGAGGATTTAAATGAGGTTTGAGACTTAAAGACAAGTTTTAGAAACATATGATTTTCGCTTAAGCACAAGTAAGATGAAGTATATGTAATGTAAGTTCATTGAATTCAAGTTGGATGGATTTCATGGAGGAGGGTATTAGGGGTTCTATGTGACACAAATGTACCGCTCAAGTTGAAGAGAAAATTATATCGGAATGTGTGGTAAGACCAACTGTTGTGAATCAGATATCTTATAACAAAGTATAAACGGTTTCTTAATGATCAAGAAACATACAAGGGTTAGGGTTAACAAAGAAGACAAGGTAAAACAACAAGGAACAACAAAGATTGGTTATAAACTGCTATACTTTCCTTTCTCTTAGAAACAAGATTACAAGTATACAAGAATAACAAATAACCTCTTTCTCTCTTGAAATTAGGATTTTATCTTCCTATTTTTCTTTTTTTCAAGATTGAGAAACTATCATCCTATTTATAATAAAAATAGCACACTAATCTAATGGGCTTTTTAACAATTACTCATTACAAGCTAACTTAGGGTACAAGCTAACTTAAACAATTGGGATTACAAGCAAGACCCAATTCAACATGCTAACAACCCTAGCAATATTGACTAATGCATGTTAGAACAAACTTCGACTACAACATGCATTACTCCGACAGCAACATGCGAACATACTTCGACCACATGCTTAATTCCTGTCGAACCAGAAGCTACCCTTCGACCATACTAGAGTTCTATCCAACATCTCACAAATCCCTACCTTGGATCTAACTCTATAACATCAAGAAATTAGCTTTTTTCATGCAGCTTTATCAACTGCATATAGTGGAAGAACTTGCAACTTGGCAACGTCTTGGTGATTATATTAGCAGCATTATGACTGTCAAAACCTTCAGCACTTGGACTTCTCCATGCTGGATTACTTCTTTGATGAAATGCAGCCTCACATCAATGTGCTTGCTTCGCTCAAGATAAGCTGAATTCTTCGACATGTGTATTACACTTTGACTATCACATTTAACAGTGATAACTCGACCTTGAAGTTTTAGCTCCTTTGCAAAACCTTCAAGCCACAATGCTTCCTTTAAAGCTCCAGTTAGGGAAATATACTCCGCTTCAGTGGTTGATAAGATAACGACCTTCTGAAGTGTTGTTTTCCAACTGATTGTTGTCCCAAACATAGTGAATACATATCCAGAAATAGATTTTCTAGAATCCATACAACCTGCATAATTAGAGTCGATATATCCTTCGATTGCTTATTTACTATCTTCACCAAAGGCTCCACCATAAATTAAGACTCTATTCAGAGACTCATTTATGTACCTTAAAATCCACTTCAATGCTTGATAGTGAGCCTTTCCGGGATTCGCCATGTACCTGCTTACAAGACTTACTGCATATGTTATGTCAGGCCTAGTACAGACTATACCATACATCAAAGAATCCACTATATTAGCATATAGAATGCTATTCATATAAGTTCTTTCAACATCAGTGTTGGGACACTAATCTATACTCAACTTGAATTGAGGGTTTGTCAGAGTCACAACAGGCTTTGAATTCGACATATCATACTTTTCGAGAATCTTCCGTAGGTATGCCTCTTTTAGATAAGCATAATCTCAACTGCTTTCCATCTCTTCGGATGTCAATCCCAAGAATCCTGGACGCAGCTCCCAGATCCTTCATGTCGAACTCCTTATTGAGTTCAGCCTTCACCCTCATTACCTCTTCGACATTGTGTCATAGTCATTAATGATAGATTGTTAGTGTCCGTGTGTGTTTCACCCCATCATCCTTTTGGTGATGACGACTTTTTGCCTATTATTTACGTTTGACTCAGAGGTTTACATCATCCAGCATTTTCAATTCTCAAGCATCTCTTTTTTCAGACAAATTCAGGGTCTTCTTCATATCTAATTGACTTCTACCTTGAAAAATGAACGTTGCAGCAGTTCATTTCCCTAGATTTAAGTCAATTAGATAGGGGCATCTGTCATACCCTAAATTTGTCCTACCCATTTTCAATTATTTTCACTTTTCGTTTTTATTTTCTATTTTACGTTGTCTGCTTATTTCTTTTTATTTAGACACGTGTCCGCTCGCAATTGGTCGATTTTTTAGAAATTTATCTTTATGACCAATTAAGGCGTGACACGTGGCCTAACAACCTTTTTGTGAATATTTTTTTTAAACTTTTTCTTTTTTAAAATATTACTAATAATATTTTTTAGTAATTATTTTTTCGTTTTTTAAAATTTCAGTTTATTTTTATATTTCTTTTAATACTTATTTAATTGTTATTGTTAATATTTATTTTATTATTTAGTTATGTTAATATATTAGTTTTCTCTATAGTTATGTTAATTAATGTTAAGAAAATAAAAATTAACAGAATTAAAAAATGAGAAGGGAAAACGGAGTGGGCTAGGCCCGTGATTGGGGCCCATTGGAGAAGAAAGAAGAGAGGGTCGGATGGTTACACGATAAGATAAAAGGGGGAGAAATTCATTGTGAGAGGAACCCTAGACTACTGTTCATCTTCCGTCTCCACTCAAACGGCGCCGCCCAAACCCTAGAATCCCATCCGCCACCATTCATATCATCATCTTCTTCAAATCACCACCCTCACTGGCTCAACTTCCATTTTTATTCGCACCCATAAAAAAACCTCACAGATCACCTTCTCCCTTCAGATTTTCTCTGCCGTTACTTTCGGATTTTCAACAGCTAGAGTTACATCCGGGTAACGACTAAAAATAGCACAATGCTGCAATACTTCCTGCTTCCTCACCGCTCACGTCGTCCACAACAACTCTACAACATGGATTTGATGATGTTGTTTTGAATAACCTCATCTTGACAATAATGGCGAAGCATTCACCGGATTTTGAACAACCGTGCGACAACCATCGAATGGCGTCCCGTCAAAAGACTCAAGCGATCAAGGATCAAAAACTCGTTCAGAGGTTGATGAGCAGTTCGTAGCCGCAAAAACCCACGTCTCAATCGAGATCAATTTCTCTTCATTGCCAACGTTGCTGAGTTGCGACAACTCCGGCAACGACTTCGCGTCCCTTTTGCAAACTGCGACGATTTTGTAACAGATACGACGCCGACATCGACATGGAGGCGTTGATAGCATGTCTCGCTTAAAGACATCAGATTGAACAAAAGCTCGATTCTGGAACAATTAAGTTTCTTTAAGTGTGTATGAAAGTTTATCAAGATGGAATCAAAACATCCATATGCGACAACACCTCTGTGACAACAACCAAGTTAGAATCATTTTATTGATGGTGGATCTTCAGTTCTGGTTTGATTCTGTCGCATTTTTATTTTTATTTTTGTTGTGTACGAAAATATCGAAAAAAATCAATGTTATTTGTGCTGGTCATATTCTGATCTTGGTCGTTTCCAATTTTTTTGTATTGGTTTCCTGTTCTGTTTGGGTGCGTTTCCATTCAATGCAGGTTTGTGTGTTGCGGAAGCGACTGTAAAGTCGAGCTAGTTCCGACTGCGCTATCATCTCGTCGGGTGCCCGTATGCTTGCAGCTGGAAGCATAAGTATTCAAGAGTTGAGTCGAATACACCGTTACAACCATGATGACC